TTTTGTTTGTTTGTTTGTTTTTTTTATCATTTGGCAGTATGATTGTTAATAGTCTATTATTACTTTCTTTATTGGGGGTGACCCCAAAAATGATACTGGAGATGGTCTAATATTTGGAAGGTTGGTTTTCCAACCTAAATGTCAAAGAATCCTTGGGCAAGATGCTGAACCCTGAGTTACCTCCATTAGGAGTTGACCTTGTGAATGTCATATTAAAAGTGCTTAGACATAGGAAAAACATGAGACTTGAAGAAAGCCGTCGAAGTGTTCAAACTGAGTAACAAAAAGAACTAATTAAGTATTATTTTAAGGACTTTCCATCTGTTTTATTCTGTGCCACAAAGAAACTTAATAAATAAATGTTCTTACTTTTCTCAGGATGTAATATCCTGTCAGTAACATCTCCTTCAGCATCATCCCTTAATGTGGCATGGAGCACCTACAGCAATGCTTCAGTTTATGTGTTGGACTTGAGAGCTGTGAACTCCACTACTATTTCCCCGCTGATGGTGATGATACCACCAACCAGCACAGAGATGGTGGTACAGGGGTTAAGATCTGGATATGTCTATGACATCACCCTGAAGGTCCTTGTGTTTTTTAATCTTGTGTGCACAGACACTAAAACAGCCATGACAGGTAGGGACAAGTTTTAAACCAGCTGAATAAACAAAGCAATTTTATTTGAAGAGTAAAGTAAATAAAGTAATGCTGAACATCTTCTACATCCCCCCAGTGCCGGCTACACCTCAGATCACACTTTCTGAAGCTGTGTCAAGTACTTCCATAAGGTTTGAATGGACCACTGTGATTGGGGCAGTTAACTATACTATAATTGTGGAAGAGTTCATTAAATCTCTGGCACAGAGCTTCACTAAGACCTTCACAGATTCAAGGGGACAAATTGATGATTTGAATAACTTTACAACATACAGCTGCAAAGTTTACGCCTCCAACAGTGCTGGAAGAAGTGCCCTAAGTAACACAAAGATAATAACAACGTGTAAGTGCATACAAACAGCTGGTTTTGATGTTTTTTCAGATGATGCACATACACATAAAATATACATAATTACTTCTAAATCACTGATTAACGCCTGTATTTTCTGTTGGAAGTGGTGCAGCCACCCACTAATGTGAAAGTAGTAGCAACAGGAAAAAGTACAGCCCGAGTGACTTGGAACTCAGTGGATAAAGTCCTGCTGTACCGAGTGGCTGTGAGTGACAGTAAAAACCCCAGCAACATGCCAGTCATTAGAAACACCACCAGCACAACCTTTGATATAAGTAATCTGGAGCCCTGCACCACCTACACAGTGGGAGTATCATCATTCAACTTCTTCTTGGTGCCTGGGGAGCCTGCTAATGTTACACACACTACTTCTAGTGAGTATCTGTGCAACATCAATTATTTGTCTATTTCCCTTCTCTTCTCTTGTTTAAAAATATGAAATCAAAATCAGATAAAGCGTAGAAAAGTATTTACTACCAGAACCACTGAAGCATAGGCCTGATTCCCTGTTTTTATAGATGAGGACATATACAAACTGTTACCTGCATCGTGATGATATTTGTGAATGAGCTCCGTCAGAGTGTTTTGTTTGACCTGTTAGGGATAACATGCCAACAGGAATCCGAGAATATGTTCATGTACCTACATTTACCACTTTTGCTGACTTCTGAAACATAATTATGCCATCTGTTTACAATTTGTACATTTTTTTCTTTACTTTATTCAGCTATTAATTCGGTGACGACAGTCTCAGTGGACTACAGCTGCTCCAGTGGCAGTGTGACAGTAACTTGGGATGTGGTCTTTGGGGCCAGCTTGTACAGAGCCACAGCTGTAGATGGGACCGGCACTTCTAGTAACTGCACATCAGCTTCCACTAGCTGCCAGATCTCCATGTTAAAATGTGGTGAGAAGTATGAGGTCCGTGTTACAGCCCTCTCTGGTGCCTGCAGCAGCACCTCCAACATATCTTCAATGTTTGAGACAGGTGAGGGCAGCAGCTGTGAAAACAAATATGACCTCTCTGAGGCTCATCCCCTGTCGCCTTTATACTGCATGTTTTCAATCATACTTCCACCTCCTCTTTTTTCCTTACATTGCACAGTGCAATCTATTCAGAACAAACTGTACGCTTAGGTCAGACTTTTTAGGTTCTTTCCATGGTGTCCTTTGTTCTTTGTCACAAGTTCACGTTATCTAATAAGACCTCCCATCTAACACCAGCAATTCAAAAGGTCTTTACAGCCTATTGAAGTTAGGGAGTTTTCAAAAGTCATGTATAGGATGGGTCTGAAACATGAACAGGTGAAGGAGATACACAATCATGTACTGTACACCAAGTCTTCAAGCTGCTTTGATGGTGTGATTAATTTAATGTAAATGAAAAACAGAATTTGGTAGACAGCTTGATGTTAAAGATGAAATCGATCATTTTTTTGAAGTTGTTTAAACCAAAAAAGGATATTTATGCATAATTAATGTGTAATAACATCTCTCGACAAACTTTTACATTCTCATAAACTTTGAATGAATCCATTAAAAATGCATAATAGCAGGCACCAGTTTCTGGAAGCCGCTCAAGTGTCCTAAAAATCACACTTTCCCCATTGATAAACAGTTTGATTACATTCTCACATTGTATCAAAGTTTATGCACTAAGACGCCAACAATGTTACATGCATTTCAACAAATGTATCACTAATGCCAACTAAGAGCAGCTAACAGAGGCTAACAGCAGCAACAACATCAGAAAACTTTAAGATATCCTCAACAACTCACTTCGGTATAGCTATCATTGGTTTTAAAAAAGTTTTCACAGAGTCAAGAGTCATGTTCCAATCTGAGTACACTCACTACAGACGAACAGTGGCCAGAGTTGAGGTGATCAGAGAAAATTGGCAACATTTTGGTCGCTTATGAAGAAGTGCACGATGTGGACTTACATTCAATACACTTTTGTTAGTGGTTGCTCTAGTGCGTAAAGAATGGTGCATAGAAAATAAATAAATTAATGTTAATGGTTCTACAAGCATGAACCTAGCTCTTCAAGGGCCGTCACTACTGGCTTTGTTGGCCACCAACACCCTTGGCCATCAGTGACCTCAGCTATGTATGCATTCCCTTGCAAATACATAGAAGTAACTGTTCATTAGCCATATTTCTTTTAACATGTCTACAAAATGTAAGCTTTTTTCTGTGTCATTTTCAATTACTAAACGATATATGGACGAGTTAGAATCACGGTGAGAGTGTCATTTATGTCATGAAATTACAGTGAAAAGGGGAAAAAAATGCATTATGTAAATATGCAAAATGACTCATTGTGTCATTTCTAGAATTTGATGCCAGGATGGAAGGGATGTAGAGGTGCACTTATCCTATCCTCCCATCCTTAATTCGTTCTTTTCCCCCAGTCCCCTGTGCCCCAGCAAATCCTCAGGCTTCATACACTTGCAACAGCAATGTAGTCATCTTCAGCTGGCAGCCCATCGACAACACCTTCTATTATGTGGCAACGTCTGTGGATAGCAATGGCATGTCAACGGAGTGTCGAACAGTAGACATCATGTGTTTCTTCACTGATGCGGAGTGCGCTCAGAACTACACGTACCGTGTGTATGCTGTCACCTTACAGTGTATCACCGACATCACTGAACCTGTGATTGTTCAAACCTGTGAGTATTTCTTACAGTCTTTGTTGTGACTTTTCTAAAATGTGGTTACAGAAGCTTTTTGTGGTTGGTTGCTCTAACAACTGGTAAAGTTTAGTTATTTTTTAAACACTTTGAATTAAAGGAAAGGAACGAAATACACATTCTTCTCCATTTTCTTTCTTTAGCTCCTTGTCTTCCAACTAACTTGAGAAGGACAGCTGAGTGTGACCCTAACAGGCTGGTCATAAACTGGGATTCTGCTGCTGGAGCTCTTTCCTATTTTGTAGAAGCAAAGGGAAACACTAAAGAAAGCTACAACTGCACAACTTCCTCCAACAGCTGTGAAATTACCAATGTGCCATGTGGTGAACACCTCAGCGTGTGGATTGTTGCCTCCAATAACAAGTGCTCCTCTCCCCAAGTTTTGGGAGAGGTTGCACAGACTGGTATGTATTGAGTCACTGTTTGAAATTTTCATAGTTCCCAAGATGTCATACTGCTAAACCAGGTGGCAGAGACTCGTAAACACAAACATCCTCTCTTTTCAGTTCCCTGCACCCCAAACAATGTCACAGTATCAGTGGACTGCAGCCAAAACTCTGCAACACTTGATTGGATGGAAAGCAGTGGCATTATATTGTACGTCATTGTCGCCCAAGATGCACACGGCAATTCATACAGATACATGTCAATGGACAGCCCCCGTATGATTGATGGCCTGAGATGTGGACAGAACTACACTGCCAGTGTTTTTGGCACAGATTTCATTTGCAACAGCACCACCAGTCAGGAGGTTTCTTTTATGACAGGTAGGTCAGAAGATTGATAACACTGTTGTGTTGTGTCACCTATGTATATACTATACACTATATATATTATACCAAAAAAAATTAAACCAGGGCAAAAGTGCCTTAAACTTGCAATTACTTAAAAAAAAAATTAAATCACCAAAAATTAGTCTTAAAAATGATCAGAATTAGTCTTAAAAATGATGTAATAGTTAGTCTCCAACAATGTTTCTGTGAGATTCACCCTCATTTGTTATGTTCAGTTATCATGTGCAGATTTATGATGAAGACACTTAACACCTGTTAAGTTACTGTGAACTGAATCATCTTTCTCCTCTCCAGCACCGTGTCCTCCGACAAACATCGAAGCGTTTAGAGACTGTGATGCCAATCGTGCTGTGATAGTCTGGCAGAACCATCAGTCCACAGGCCTCTACACCGCCACTATAGCAGATCAGAGCGCTGATCAGCTAAACTGCACCAGCAACACAGGGAACAATTGTACAATAACTTCTCTGCCTTGTGGAAAGAAATACAACGTCTCGGTCACTTACAATGATGGAAACTGTCCGTCAGCCTCGAGTGTGGTCAGCATGGACTCAGGTACTACTGCTTTAAATTAAATCTGTTCATCAGAGCACCATATTTGATCCTGCAGAAGAAATGATTACAACAAATGGAAATATCCTAAATAAACCAGATGAGTTGAATAAAATGTGTTGAAACTTTAATTTAAAAAATAATAAATAATATCTAAAATATGATATCTGCTTTTAACCTAAGGAAGTGAGTGGAGCGCCATTTCTGGTATAGAAATGGTATATCATTTCTATTGATTTTAAATGGCATATGATGTTGTGTGTCTTTTTTCAGTGCCATGTGGTCCTGAAGGAGTCAGAGCCCATGTGGACTGCACAAGTGGTAAGCTGACAGTCTTCTGGAACATCTCCTCTACTGCTGAGAACTACACCACTGTGATATCCAGAGGATCGGGCCAGCCTCTGTACTGTAACTCCACAGAGACACAGTGCAGTACAGGAGGACTGGAGTGCGGAAGCACCTACGCAGTGACGGTCTTTTCTATCACTGGGACGTGCAAGAGCCTGCCGAGCACAGAGGTCACAGTGGACACATGTGAGACCTGCAGATTTATCATGATCATATATGTAGATAGAGCCACAAGACTTTGTTAGATAAATCCTCCAAATTGCATTTCTTATTCATTTCCTTTCAGTGCCGTGTCCTCCCACCAACGTCACAGTGACACGCACATGTGCTCCACACCCTGTTCCTGTGTCATGGCTCCCCAGTGATGGTGCCAAATACTACACTGCTGTTGCTTTGAGCAGTGAAGGTCACAAGTCCTCATGCACAACCAATAAAACCTCCTGTAGCCTCACTGGGCTCCACTGTGGGGAGGTTTACACAATAGGTGTTTCAGGAGTTGATGACAAGTGTACAATTCAACAGAGCAACACTGTCTCTGTGAACACAGGTAACACGACCTTGACCTAAACCACTGATGTCAGTAATGGGGGTCTTATTTGGGGAATCTGGAAGCGTTACTGATATTTTATTTCATTCCAACTCCAGAACCATGTGCTCCCTTTAATGTGTCGAGCCAGCTGATCTGTAGTGCTAGAGCTGCTCACGTGTCCTGGGACCCCAGTCCGAATGCACTGAGCTATGCAGTGGAAGCCATAAGTGATGGGCAGACCCACACCTGCAACAGCTCCAGCCCCAACTGCACACTGAGTAACCTGCTCTGTGGCCAAGCATATGAAATTGCTGTGACTGCCACGGATGGAACCTGTGTCAGCAACTACAGTGCCCCCTTCAGGCAAGACCAAGGTACTGACTTTGACTGGCAATTACTCAGGTGAGGAGAAGCCTCTCAGTCTCAGTATATTGAGATGAATCTTCGTTTTGTTTTTTTTTACAGCAGTGATTCCTATAATATTATATTCTATAATATTGTCACCAGTAATTTCTTAAATATGCCCCCACTGGACTTGAGATTTAATATGCAAATTTGTGTTTTTCACTGATCTCTTGCAAAAGAAACTTGACCTAACAAGACCTGCCTCTTTCCAGCCTCATCACACATTACTGGTTTAAACACTTTAGCAGTGAAGATAGAAAACTCAAACTAAACAAGGCATCATACTCGTCCTTCTTTTACATTCTTTTCAATCAAACTGATAAGCAATTCGTTTTTTTTTTAACTCTACTCAATCCCAGATCAGTTTTTTTCTTGGTTTTAATACACTATACTGGTCATGGCTTTCTTCATCGAACTCAGTACACAGTTCAGCTGAGAAAAGTCTTTGTGATTAACTCCCACTGTGTTCTGTTTCTCTCAGTGCCATGCGCTCCAGGGAACATCAGTACAGACTTGTCCTGCAGCACCAATGACTTAACGGTCAGCTGGATCTCTTCTTCTGCATCCCTCCAATACAGTGCCACTGCTGTGCCATTAGCTGGAAATGTAACTTCGGCCATCTGCCACACTGATGGTGCCAGCTGTGTTCTGAGCGGCCTTCAGTGTGGACAGACGTTTAACGTCTCAGTGGAAGCGTCCTCTGGCAGCTGCAATGGACCGCACAGCCCTCCACAGACTGTTCAGACAGGTAACAATGACGGTTATTGTAAATCTATAATTTCGTCTATCTGCTAACGCTGCTGATTTCCTTAATGTTTCTTTTAAGTAGATAAAGTCCAAAATCAATTGTTTTAGAATCGTAATATTTAGCAAGAAAGGAAAGAGATCATTCTATACCAACTATGACTGTGACAAAACAATCAACATAACTGTCCTGTAAATGTTAATTAGTACAGCATTTTAAATGTCATGCCCTCACATGCTGATGGAGGTGTGGTCCCACTCCTGAAATTCATATAAATTATCTCCAATAAATGAGGATTTACTTTGGGTCAGTTGGGATAGGCTGTCGCAGGATTCCCTCAGTGCTGCACTTCTCCTGTCCTAATACTCAAACTCATTAATGCTCATATTAAAACAAAATGATAACACATTATTCTTGTCTTGTTTGAAAGTCAGGGAATCCTGATTCGCTGCTTGTTAAATGCTGGAGCTCAATAAAACAAAACCTGAGCAACATACTGGAAGAAAAACAGAAAGGCTTTGATAAAGCAAACATGCATTAATGTTAGCTTGCACCAATAATTTGTTACTTTAAACCTTTGACATGCCAACTTTGGAAACTGCAATGTTAATTAACGAACAAGTGCAGCCTGTATTAAACCTGACAAAAGCAATATGAACTCTGAAATTGTATTCTTAAAAGGCTTACATTTAAAACACAAAATCATTTAAGATAAGTTTTTTTACATAGATACTACTTGAGCAGTTGGATTTACAGTGTGTCATATCTATTTCCAGCACCCTGCTCCCCTCAGAGCTTGGCAGCAGTGACAGACTGCGGATCAAACTCCCTGCTGGTCTCCTGGAATTCCTCTTTCGGTGCTTCCAGCTACACAGCTAAAGTTATGGGCCCACATGGCTTCTCTGAGACGTGTTCCTCATCAGATCTTAGTTGCTCTTTTTTCAACCTGCAGTGCGCCACTCAGTACAGCATCACAGTAGCATCCGAGAACAACCGCTGCACCAGTGCTCCCATTCAAACTACTATCACAACAGGTGTCATTTACATATATTTGTGCATTTCATGAGTTTCCAAATCATATTTGGACTTTTGGGACACATCATGCATCATGTAATGTATGTTCCTCCAGGACCATGTGACTCAGTTAACGTGACCAGCATCCTGCACTGTGGCTCAGACGTGGCCACGGTGTCCTGGATTGCATCTCCCGGAGCTCTGACCCACACTGTGCTCACTGAGGATGGCACATCTCATGATTATATTTCCTGCAGGACTAACACGGCTTCCTGTCAACTGAAACAGCTGCAGTGTGGGAAAGTTTACAACCTCACAGTCATCTCTGAGGACGCCACCTGTAACAGCACAGGAGCAAACCATGTTATAATGACAGGTAGGGAAACCGCACACAGCAAAAACAAAGATGTTTTACAATCTTTAGAATCAACGAACACATTTATTAAACGTGTTTCTTTTTGTCTCCTTCGCAGCTCCATGTCCTCCCACTTTCATAAATAACACTCTGATCTGTGGCACCAGTTCCTCTTTTCTGTCATGGACCCCGGTGGCTGATGCTACAGGTTACACAGTTAACTCCACAGCTTCAAACGGCCACAAATTGTCGTGTAGCTCAGCCACAGCTTCATGCACACTGACTGACCTTCAGTGTAGTGAGACCTACACAGCTACAGTGACTGCACACGGTAACGAGTGCGACAGTGCGCCTGGAACCAGCACCAGCATTACCACAGGTGAGCGTGCTTCAAATGGCACATACATGTGATCTTGCTTCATCCCCCTGCTAAACCAATGTACTGCTCTTTCTCCAGCTCCCTGTGCTCCAGTTATCATTTCTAAGCAGTATACCTGTGGCACCAACACAGCAGTGTTCAGGTGGACTGACCCTGCGGGAAGCCTCAGTTTCCTCGCTCAGGTAGAAGGAAAAGGGCATCAGGACGACTGCCACACGACAAATACCAGCTGCGTGTTTGAAAATCTCCCCTGTGGCTTGGATTTGAATGTAACACTCCAGGCTCAGGGGGCTCAGTGCAACAGCAGCCCAAGTGTCAACGAATCCTTAGAAACAGGTAAATAACAGACATTTTTTCTGTCATAGAGTAAGATGAAAAGAAATCACCACTGGACCTCATATCTGCCT